GGTTTTCCCCAGCTTGTAGTCGATGAACTACTATTAGGTGGCCATTGAACGTCCATGGGTCGTCGCTGAGGATCCTCTAGACACTTAACTCATGGAAGAGTCAAAACAGGTATCTGTTATTTCCCAACTCTTTGACACTTACTCCCCCTAGTGGTCTTCATACATTGGCTAACATGTTTCTTATAGGTTCAAACTTTACCACCGCCTCAGTTAAGAAGTGGCCCACCAAACACAACTCATAGGATTCCTGTGCTTCGAGTCTGTATCTGTGATATCCCATCCTCCTTCCTCAGCGTCTGTGATCGACAAAGCAACCAGTTACTCCTCCACCTTCATACTTGTTTAAGTAATAACCGGTGTTGAAACAACATAACATGCCAAACAAAAGACCTAATTACGTGCCAAACAGCAGACATTAATAAAAGAGTTTTATTTTAATCAAAGAGTTAATTATTATATTATTCTAAAAATTTACAAGTCTGATATGAGGAATAAAATCCAATTTGTACCTTAATTAAAAACAAAGAAATTCAACAAAAGTCCTCGAAACAATCAAATTAAGAGAAATAGATTATTAAATAATTTATTGAAAAACTACTCTAATCACAATCGTTACTTAATAAATTTGTTTTTATGTTTTATTTTGAGATGAGAGAAAGAAAGCGGGATATGAGAATGACTGTTATAGCGTGTGAGGTCAGTGCTCATTTTCTGTAACAGCCCCGGAAATTTTAAAGGAGATAGATATATTTATTCTAAGTGCGGAAGCGAAATAAAAATAGAATATGATTAACATCCCTTACACAATAACCGGAAACGTGCTCAAAATATAAAAGGTCAAACTAACTAAAAGAGAAACTCGAAAGTAAAAGCTATGAATATGACTATGGAGTCTTTAGGCGTCCCCTTCGTCGTCTTCCTGCGAAACGGGCTCGGGAACAATGTCTTCCTGATCTGAAATGATTAAATAAGGAATGAGCTACACTAGCCCAGTAAAGACATCACGATATCTCACCGTCACGGAGGTAAAAGTGGGTAGAAAACACAAAAAGACCAATGGAGTATAATTTATAACAAATTCTTTTATCAATGATAAAATCATTTACCATCCACTTACCTCGGTGAAGTTCATAAAACAATACACAAGCAACAACATTGTCATCATCACAAAATCATAGAAACTGTATAACATAACACTTAACGCGCCTTTTGCATCTCAATCATTACACAATATATTTTTCCTTATTTGCCAGCCTACTAGTATCCATGGGGATCCATAGAGGTCCCGCTACCCGTGAACCCTTAACACTTGTAATCAGATTCCATGGCCATCCCCATACCCCGTCCGGCATGGGCGCCAAAACTATAAACCTCAATACCCCGTCCGGTATGAGGGTGAAACGGGCCGTCCCCATGCCCCGTCCGGTATGGACGCCAAAACACATAAGACCTCAATACTCCGTCCGGTATGAGGGTGAAACGGGCCGTCCCCATACCCTGTCCGGTATGGGCGCCAAAACACATAAGATCTCCATACCCCGTCCGGTATGAGAGGCCACGATCCCGGTAGGGTTCCCTACGGACCCGGTCCGTCCACCATCTCCTAGGATATCTAGTCAGGCTGACCACATTATACAATTATCAATTTACATAACCTTTCATTTCCCTTTTTCCTCAGTCAGCATCATCAATTCACACGCAAACAAGCAAAACAGTAATTTATGCCAAACAAGACAACATACAGCATCGGTTTCTCAGTCATTCAACCCATAATCAATAAAACAGTAAAATATGCACACGAAACAATGAAATGAAAATATCAGACCTCATGCTGTATTTAAAACTATAAAATATGCCAAATAACAGTTAACCGACAAACACACAAGACTCGGACTCCATTAGCGACCTTAAGCAATTTCACACATTCGTTGATTCAAGAATTACCGTTTTATCATTATTGGACTTTAATACTGTAATAGAAAATAGGGTGAGGGGTCCTTACTTGTTTCGGGGTCCGAACACGGCTTCACAGTGCGCCTACAACCTGTCCCTAATTTTCTCTGAATTTTTTTCGGAGAACTGAAACGCACTACTGGTACCTGCACGTGTTCCAAAAAATCTCAAATTATGCCCAAGGCCCCTTGCGGCCAATATCGCAATTCTGGCACGGCGGCTCCGCCGTGCTCCGGCGATGGCGGCGGCGATTCGCCTCGGGTTGGCCGTTTCCGGCCGAATTCGGCCACACTCGCATCGGTCCATGCGATAAAACAACCCTAGGGCCCTCGGGGGGCCAAAAAAATTACAGAAAACCGAAGCTTACCGACGGCGGTGCTCTCGGGTGCGGTAGCTCTCCGGCGAGGTTCGTGTTTTGGTGATTCAGCTCCGATAAACCTGTAGAGAAGAGAATGGTGATCACGGTGATATAAAAATTGCATCAAACGAAGATCGGGAAGGGCCTCATCGGAGGCAAAAATCGAGGAGGGGCGCGGCGGCGCCGCTGGGTTTTGGCCGTGTTTTTCGGCCGATTGGCAGGGATTTTAGCTCCGATTTGGCCACAGGGGAAATCAGCGTGGAAAAACGAGTCGGGGGTATGAAATTTACCTCGATCGGCGGTCGGAAATCTCCCCGGTGCGGCGGCGGGTGGCGGCGGTGCTCTCGGGTGCGGCGGCTAGGGTTTTTGTGGTCTGGTGTGGAGGTTCTATTTATACCCTTTTGCCTTTTGATCTCGGCCGTCCATTTTATTTTAATATGAGCCGTCCGTTTTTGATTGAATCTGGGCAGTCCGTGCGATTGCATCTGGGCCGTCCGTGCGCACGCTTGATCTGGGCCGTCCGATCGCGCATATGCGGATCGCCAACGTGGCCCGTCCCCGGATCGACGTGGTCTTGCCACGTGGCAGGTCCCGGTTGGCCAGGACTGCTGACTGGGCCTGCTGACGTGGCATTTTTTTTTAATTAATAAAAATAATTAATGAGAACATCCATGGGTCGTCGCTGAGGATCCTCTGGACACTTAACTCATGAAAGAGTCAAAATAGGTATCTGTTATTTCCCAACTCTTTGACACTTACTCCCCCTAGTGGTCTTCATACATTGGCTAACATGTTTCTTATAGGTTCAAACTTTACCACCGCCTCAGTTAAGAAGTGGCCCACCAAACACAACTCATAGGATTCCTGTGCTTCGAGTCTGTATCTGTGATATTCCATCCTCCTTCCTCAGCGTCTGTGATCGACAAAGCAACCAGTTACTCCTCCACCTTCATACTTGTTTAAGTATTAACCGGTGTTGAAACAACATAACATGCCAAACAAAAGACCTAATTATGTCCCAAACAGCAGACATTAATAAAAGAGTTTTATTTTAATCAAAGAGTTAATTATTATATTATTCTAAAAATTTACAAGTCTGATATGAGGAATAAAATCCAATTTGTACCTTAATTAAAAACAAAGAAATTCAACAAAAGTCCTCGAAACAATTAAATTAAGAGAAATAGATTATTAAATAATTTATTGAAAAATTACTCTAATCACAATCGTTACTTAATAAATTTGTTTTTATGTTTTATTTTGAGATGAGAGAAAGAAAGCGGGATATGAGAATGACTGTTATAGCGTGTGAGGTCAGTGCTCATTTTCACTCGGATTTTATTCTCCTGAACGGATGAACAAATTAGACGTAGCTTCGTAACCTGAAGAAGTTTGATTTTTGCCTAAGTGTAAACTTTAATAAATAGATTTTTAAAAATAATTTTTAACAGCTCCAAAAAATTGCCAAGTGAAATACAGAAGATGCTTTTCAAATTAGATATTAATTTTGGTGGTTTATGCTTATAATAAATTAAACAATTAATTTTTTTTAACATTTTTAAACAAAATCATAGTTAAAAATATTTTAAATAATATTTATAAATTTAAAAATAATCTCCAGAATTAAAAATTATTTATTCAAAATATATTTCAAACTAATAGAATCAATATTCTTCCCTAATAAAGTTGACCGAAAATTTAACTTATTAAAATTTGTTTTTTGGTCTCGAGCCTTATTACTTGGAGAAAACACTATAAAAACATTTATTGTTTGTTTAGTTGCAGTTTCTGTATTTAGAAAGTACTTTATAATTAAATATAGGAAAGTAAAAATTTTAATGACTTAAATCAAAGTTAAAATGTATTTTTTTCATAAGTCTAAATGCAAAAATCAAGAATACTAATTTTTTAAAAAGTATTTTTGTTCTAAAATTATCCTCAATTAATTTAAAAATTACATATTCTAGTTCTTTTTACTTTATGCAACGGCCACATTTTTGTTCACCGGCCACCGTCCAGCCCTCCGCCACTAGCTAATTGCCGCCTTTTGCCCTTCGCCACCAGCTGGCTCCCGACCAATAACATTTTTCCTATGGAAATAAGTTAAGAAAGTATTCTCACATTAAGATTAATAACCAAAATATTGGGTTATTGAATTCTTTTTTTTGCTTTTGTTAAGTAAATAATAGTTATTTGACGTTAATATTAATATAATTAATTATTAAAATTGAATTAATTTTTAATTTTTTAATTTTAATTCTGAAATAATTTATTTTATATTTATTATTCACGTTGTTGATATAATTGATATATCGATTAATTTGATATTCTACCGTAAAGATAAATTTCGATTCTGACTGAAAACTGAAATATGTTGGAGGAGAACACAAAATTTTATCATATTAACCGCAAAAGCACCGTGTTATTATTATCCTCTTGCATCTATTACCATTTCAAAGTATTTAAGGTACATGTAATGTGTATTTTTGGTTACACATTAATAATTAATCAAACAGCTTGTTGAGTAATTGTAGTGCACAAATTAAGTTTATTTTTTAAAAAGAAATGTGTGTTTGTGCGTGCGTGCGCGCGCGCGTGCGTGCGTAGGTGTGGGCGTGGGCGTGTCCGCGGGCGAGTGTGCGTGTTTGTTTGTGTGTGTGTGTAATAATGCATTTAGAGAAGCAAAACATACACGAAGATATATGGATCAAACTTAAATTATCAAAAGTATATGAGCGTCCAACCAATTTGTTAAACATGAAGAATAATTACAAATAGCCTTTTTCCTTGCAGCATTGAATTGCTTGGTCAAACATTTCATCAAGCCCGTACTTGTATTTAAAACTCGTATCCAACAGCTTCTTTGATGATATTTTTGGCATTTTGAAACCTTTAATCTCCGCTAAACATCTGGCAAAAAGTTTATATATATATATATCAATGTATATTCTTTCAGCTTATACATATATGTATATATATTATGTATACGGAGTAGAAAAGTGATGGAAAGGGACACTTACTCTCCGGTGGGTATTGGAAATTCCGGGTATTTAGTAGAAAGAAACTCAGACATCTCTTCAAGCGTTAAGGCTTGAGATGAGCAAATATATCTTCCTTTTGCATGGGGATATTCTAACAAGAAAATATGAGCTCTGGCTACATCATCAACATGGACCAACGATGTATTCATAAGATATTTGTATTGCTCCTTCTCCCCTGTAAAAATCACAGTAAATTATGATAACTAGATTGTTTATATGTATAGTTTGTATGTGTAAAGGATATGTATATTTATATGTATACCGAAAACCATTGCCATGGTATTTGTTATAGAGCTGGGCAAGTTAGGGCAGATGAAAGGCCCGATTATATAAGTTGGTATGATCGTTATCAAACTCAATCCATTTTCTTCTGCAAATTTGGAAGCTGCCATTTCTGTGGAGGTTTTAGAAGTCTCATAAGACCCGCCAAATAACTTGGTCTTCCGAATAAACTCCAAGTCACTCCAGCAGCTTTCGTCTATCTCCTCCACATCCTTGCCACTGAACGCAAGAGCAGTTATACTTCCAGTGTAGACGACGCGGTTCACTGTCTTGGCTCTGAGGCAGGCTTTGAGGAGGCCTAAGGTTCCATTCAGTGATCTTTCTGTGATCACCTCTATGGATTCTTTGTCTTGGAAATCGACGGGAGTGGCAAGATGGAAGACTCCCGTGCAGCCTTCAACTGCGGACTCGAAGGTTTCTGGCTGGCTGAGATCTGCTGTGAAGATTTTGAGCCGCTCGGATGCTCCCGGCAGGTTGGTGAGGAAACTCAGATCTCTCTTCCCTAATATTCACATTTCACAGGGTTAAATAGATTAAGTAAGAGCTGGAGCTCTGAGCATGAGTTGGACATAAATATATCAAATTTTTAGATTATTTAATTAAAAATTAATAAAAACACAAAAACTAAAATTGAAAATAATATTCACAGGTATCATAACTAAGCAATAACACAATTTCTTAAAATTATAAACACACAGAATCATAACTAATTCAAAATCATAAACCATAATTATTTAAAAAAATTTCAAAAAACACTGTATTAAAATTTAATTTATGACGCATAATCACCAAAGAAAACATAAATTATAACATTAATTTTTATAAGATAAAAAATCCTTTTAATTTACAAAAAAAATTCTTTAATTCGGTAAATTCTTATTTTCAATGCAGATTTTTGGCTCTTATCAAAAAGTGCAGAGTGGCAGCAAATATTTTCTTTGAAAGATTCCATGTACGACTCTCTCACAAATTAAGGAAAATAGCTTTTTTCATACGTATACCGAAATCTGCAATTGGTATAATATATAGAACTTATTATCCAATTAATGTGAATGAAGACCCATCATCATCACCTAAAGTTGATCGACGAACTAATATATATATGGTATATGTATATATACACACACACATACGCAACCTTCATCGTTCATTGTCATAAGCGTAAATCATTATTCTCTACATAATGTACCACCGGGTCATGAAAAAGAGAGAAAAGTTTTAAATTAATTAGAAACTACACGCACGCTGTGATTCATATATGAGTTTGTGTGTATGTGGGTACATCTATATACATATACGTGTACGTACGTATTACCTGGGACAGATCTGACTGTGGTGGTGACAGAGTAACCCTGCTCGAGCAGCCTCATGATGAGCCAAGACGCAACGTACCCTGTACCACCTGTCACGCATACTCTTCCTTTTCCATCTTCTTCCATTTTTCTTTCTTCCTCTGATCTGTAATTAGCTTATGTTTGGATCTAAAAAAAAAAAAATCGCTGAGGGTTAATTTATATGGTAGAGATGAGTCAAACGAATTAAAGCCTATCTCTCGGACAACAAATTCGCTCCTTCAATAAGAGCAATCTTTGCATTTAAATTAATCTTCCATTTTAAGAAAAATTTAGGGCTTGAATATAGGAAATTAACCATGTTACTATATATTTGATAGTTAAGTCCAAATTAATCTGAAAATACTACCAAAAAGAGAGTCCTTTTTTGGGAGAAGATTTTAAAAAATGGTAATTCAATTCAAGTTTATATTTTCAAGTGTGCATGTATACATATATGTTGGTTTAAATTTCAAATATATTTGAGCATTGAATGCTGATAGCTAGGGAAAGAAAATATATGTATTAATGTTCTCTATGGACTATAATTAATAAGAAGCATAAATTTTAACCAAGTTTCATGTTTCAATAAAATTAATTTAATTAGCGAGTACATTTAAAGAAAAATGAGAGAGATTTTTTTTTATTGAATATGGTTATATGATAATGCACGGGAAGTCTCATTTCATAATATTTATTGGTAATTTCTTTTTTTTTATATGCTAAATTTATTAATAAAAATAAGATACTATATTATCATATATATATATATATATAATTAAAGATAAATGGGGTTAGAATATTTCAAAAGTGGAATTAATCAACATAATACGAGTAAAAATAACAACAAAATAAGGTTTGTAATTAAGTTATTTCCTTTTTAATTAAAAACCAGTCACCAAGTTCAAATGTAACGGTCCCGGAAATTTAAATGAAGATGTATGTATTAAAAGTTCTAAAATGCGGAAGTGTAATAAAAATTTTGATTAACATCCCTTACACAATAATTAAAAATATGAAAAAATAAGCTAATTAAAAGAGATAATCGAAATAAAAACTATAAATAGAACTATAAAGTCTTTAGGCGTCTAACTCGCCGTCTTCCTGCGGAACGAGCTCGAAAACCCCGTCTTCCTGATCTGAAATGGTTAAGTAAGGAATGAGTTACACTAACCCAGTAAAGACATCACACTATCTCACTGTCACAGGAGTAAAGGTCGGTAGAAAACGAAAACGACTAATGGAGCATAATTTATAACAAACTCATTTATTAACATAAAAACCTTTACTGTCCACTTACCTCGGTGAGATTCATGAAAATAACATATGAAAACAATAACATTATAACCATCATAAAATCATATCGACTTTCTAACAGAACACATGTTATACTTTTGCACTTCAGTGATCAGACAATAAATTTCATCTTTTACCAGCTTACTAGTTTCCATGAGGATCCATAGGGGGTCCCCGTTATACGTGAACCATTAACATTAATAACCTGATTCCAGGACCGTCCCCATACCCCGTCCGGTATGGGCGCCAAAATCATAAACCTCAATACCCCGTCCGGTATGAGGGTGAAACGAGTCGTCCCCATACCCCATCCGTTATGGGCGCCAAAACACATAAGGTCTCCATACCCTGTCCGGTATGAGAGACCATGTTCCCGGCAGGATTTCCTATAGACCCGGTCCGTCCACCATCTCCTAGGATATCTAGTCAGGCTGTCCACATTATCCATTTATCAATTCACATAACCTTTTTACCCTTTTCTTTGGTCTCAATTATTCAATTATACACAACATGTAAACCAGTAATTGACACCAAACAAGACAACACAGTATCGGGTTCACCATAATACAAACCATAATAAAAGAAATCATGATTCATGCATACGAGACCATAAAATAAATACATCAAATATCATACTGCATTTAATACTGAAAAATAGATCAAACAACAACTAACCAACAATGTATCATATTCGAACTCCATTAGCAACCTCAATCAATTATACATGTCTATAAAGTCACAAAATATCGTTTAATTATTTATTAAGCTTTCGTGCTGTGATAAGAGGTATGGTGAGAGATCCTTACTTATTTCGGGGTCTGAAATTGACTCTACAGTGTTCCTACGGGCTGTCCCTAAATTCTCTAGATTTTTTTCGAAAAACTGAAACGCACTACCGGTACCTGCACGTGTCCCAAAAAATATCAAATCAGACCTAGGGCCCCTTTCAGCCAATATCAGAATTCCGGCACGGCGGCTCCGCCGTGCTCCAGCAACGGCGTCGCCGCCTGCAACGGCGATCCGCCTCGAGTTGGCCGTTTTCGGTCGAATTCGACCAAACTTGCATTGGTTCCTGCGAAAAAACAACCCTAGAGCCCTCGGTGGTCCAAAAAGAAAAACTGAGACTTACCGGCGGCGGTGCTCTCGGGTGCGGCGGCTTCTCCGGCGCGAGTCGCGTTTTAATGTTTTGCTCCAGTCAACCTGTAGAGAAAAGGACGGTGATCACAGTGGCATAAAAATTGTATCGAACGAAGGCCGAGAAGGGCCTTGTAAC